GGGAAACGTTGCGGGCATAAACCAAAAATGCTAAAAAAAGGAACGACGATGAAGATGCATGGATTTTTCTGCGCAGGTTGGGAGCAAATGGCAGTCGAGGCTCGCTCAGACGCTTTGATGCAAGAGATGAAAGATGCAGATGAGATGACGATGAGGGAGCGTGTGAGAGAGAGATATGCGAGAGTGGAAGGGAAGCCGGTAATGAATCGCAGACAGGCAGTGAGTGAGTGGCGTGGAAGCGATGAGAAGATGGGAGACGGAGAAGGCTCAGATCATGTTACCGTTGACGCTAATCTCGAAGCCGTCGCCCTTTTGCTTAAGGGCCTTCGCCAGCATCATCTCACGCATCCAATCGATGCGCTCGTCGCGGTTCTTCACCGCAAAGTGGTGCGTCTTGCCCGTGCCGTCCACACCCTCCACCGCCGCACCGCCACCACCACTAACGGAGCTCTCGCGCTTGCGCAGGCGGGCGGTGTGCTTGTCCTGCGGGACGAGCTGGAAGCTGAACGCGCCGACCGGGTCGCTCTTCTCGCGGGCGTGGTGCGACGACGACGAGACGGCCGTCTTGAAGGCGGCGGTGAGCCTGGACGCCGACGACGACGAGGCGGCGAGGCTGGAGCAGGCGATGGCGTAGTCGTCAATGTCAATGTACTCGAGGGTGCGGTCGACGGCGGCGACGTCCTTGTGCATGTTGAGGCGCGTGCCCTTGAGGGTGAAGTAGCCGTCCTGCCACTCGCTGCGGAGGAGGCGCGTCTTGCGCTTCTTCATGGGTCCCTGGAACGAGACGCCGCTGATCGGCGCTGCTGCGGCGGGCGTGGCCGTGGCGCACCTGGTGATACCGCCGCCCGGAAGCAGAGAGGGCGTGCTGCTGCTCGCGTTCCGTGCGACGTCGTCCTGGCTGTTGTTGTTGTTGCTGTTGTTGTTGTTGTTGTTGTTGCTCGACGACCACGGGTACATGCCACGAGGAGGCGCCTGGAGCGGCAGGCGTCGCACAGCACGCTGTCGTGGCGGTGACGAGGATGACTCTTGGGTGGGAGACGGTGTGCGCGGCGATGATGAAACGCGGGCGGCGACGACGGGGACGACTCTGTGCTCGTTGACGGACGGCAGGATGGGAAACGAGGGTCGGCGGTACGAGGCGCGAGACTGGGAGCGAGGCTGCGGCGGTGGCGGTGACGGGTCTCCCCTCGAGGAGGCTGCCACGCGATAGCCCATGTCGGGCGGCACGGACTGCGATGCGTCCCGGGCGACTGGGCCGAGGGCCACGGCGGTGACGGGCACGTCGCGCTCCGAGAAGGGCGTGCCCCAGCGGTAGGGGTTCCTGGGCGTCTCGAGGTCTGGCGATCTTGGGTCTGCCTTGTCCATCCTGTACGGGACGAATTTGTGCGAGTTGCTGCGCTGGTGGTGGTGCGACTGTTGTTGATGTTGTTGTTGTTGATGTTGTTGTTGTTGTTGATGATGATGATCTTGCAGCTGCTGAGCGACTTCCTCCTGCACCTGCGGTGAGACCTGCTGCAGAGTCGAGGGACGTCGGGGTGCTGTCGAGCAACGTTGCGCCTGGACGTTGAGGGGGATGGAGAGCTTGGGTAGGCGACGCAAGCCGTGATGAGGCGCCTGCGGCGTGACCGCCGTCGCTGGTGCCGCTGGTGGCTGCGGTTGTGCGACGACGAGCTCAAAGGGAGGGGTGGGCGGCACCTCTTCTTGGTTTAGGGATGACGACAAGGACGACGACGCCAGCGACGACGAAGGCAGCGCGTTCTTTGTTGTGCGCTGGAAGCTGAGGAACTGTCGCACATTCTCCTGCGGATCCCGACTCTGTACGCCGCGGAGCGACGCCTCGCGCAGGTACTGCAGAGGCGGCATGCCGCCGGTGCCCAGAACGTCCGACGACGCGACCAGCGACGGCGCGGCGTCGGAGAAGGGTCGCGGGGGAGGCGAGGGCAGCAGGTCCTCGTTGGGGTCGATGGCCCGCGCCGTCGCCGGGTTGCCCGCGTCGCCGCAGATGAGTACCCGGCCGGCCGCGCTCATGTCGACGTGCGGGTTGAGACGCCGAAAGTCCTCGATCAGACGCTGCTGCTTCCGCCACTTGCTGCAGTTCTCGCCCTTGGAGCAGCTGTGCGGCTTGGGGATGACCTGCTCGATGCCGATGATGGACACGGACTCGTACGGCATGATGTTGTCGCCGGCGGCGGCGTCCATGTCATCGGGGCTTCTCCGTCGCTGTTGCTGCTGCTGCTGCTGTTGCTGCTGCGGTGTGCGACGCTTCGAGGCGGCCGCCCCGGTCTGGTGGTGATGCTGGTAGTGGTCCTGCTTCCGCTCCTCCTTGCGCACCTCGCGGCTCGGCCTGTCTTCAATCGGGGTCGAGGGCCGCGACTCGTCGTCGTTGTCGTCGTTGTCGCGGCCATGCGCCGCCTTTTGCGCGCTGTCGCGGAGGCTCTGGATCTGGTGCCAGATCTTGGTGCGGATGCCAAAGGATGGGATGTCAAGCTCGCGCAGGTCCTCGAACTTGAGCGTGATCAGGATGGGCCCATTGATGTCGTTCTCGATGAAGCGGTCCGCCACGGTCACCTCGATGCCCGAGTCCAGCATGGACTGCGCGACCATCTCCGGCGTCCAGGACACGAGGTCGGCCGTGTCGAGCTCCTCCCGCGTATATTGGAACGGCCCGACCTGTGGGAGCGGCGGGTGCACGGTAATCTCACCGAACCCGCGCGGCTTGGGCGTGATGGGCGACATGCCCAGGATGGGCGGGTTCTCATCCGGGACATGGTGGTAGTAGCCGTAGTCGGAGACTGTAACTGTGTGGAACAGGTGAGGGCCATTCGGGCCCTCGATTTGCTTGGGTGAGTGCTCATGGTGGCTCGACCGAGGCGTCACGGCCTCTTCAAAAGAGTCGAGGGTTGTTTGTCCCGACTGAAGTCGCGATTAGCAGACAAGTCTCGGGTGCGAGATGTGCCGTGCGGAAATGGACAAAACTCACAGATTGGAAACTGCCGCGGGGCGAGCTCTCCTCTTCGGCGTCGGTCAGAACCGTCTCTTCCTCGTCCCAGTCAGTATCGACAAACTCCGTGGTGACGGAGGTTGGTCTGTACTGCTGCGAGTCGTTGATCAGGTTGAAAAAGGTGTCCTGCGGTGCAGGTTTCTGGCGCATCTCCGAATATGTCCGCCTTGGGCCGGACCGGATTTCTGCGTACTCCTGCGAAGCAGTGTTAGTCAAAACGAGGCGCGGACATCGCAGGTTTTGTTGTCGTCATATCTCACCATTGTTCTCGCTCGCTTCCCGTTTTCAAAGGAGCTCTGGAAACTCTATTTCGGACAATGACCTGAATACCCAGAGCCCAAACTATATAGAGCGGATGGGGGGGGCTTATGCGGTGGTTGGGGGATTTGCTGTCGCCAGCGGTGAGACAATTTCTAGGCTTATAAGCCGGCTATATTTCAACAGCTGGTCGTGAGACTCAGATGTAGAAAACAATTTAGGGAAAAAAATTTAACAAAAATCTCGTGAGAGATGTATACGCTCTGCAAAAACTCGGGAAGGAGGGCCAGGAACAAAGGCCGCGCGAGAGGCCCACGGAGCGTTATGTATGCCACTTAGAAAGCCATCCATGGTTGGATCTTCTCAACTGGACTGTCACCGCTGTCTGGAAGCGCCAGAAGAAACGTTGGGGGTGTGAGAGGGGGCGGCATAAGGGTGTGTGACAGGCCACTTCCTACTACGTTCAGTATGTACATGCTGCAGCGCGAGTCCGCCAGTGGTGAACAAGAATAGAACCAAAGTTGACAGGCATGCCAGTTCAGTCCAGTGGACGTAACAAGACACGCCCCAAAGCGCCACACCCTCGTGGGATGGGGAGGACGAAGAGAGAGGATGGGGAGGACGAGGAGGGGTCACAATGTGAGGGTGTGCTGTGTGTACGGAGCACCTCCGGAGCACGAATACAGCGTGCGTCCCTGTGCCGTGTCCCTGGCAGGCACGCACGGCACATTCACGATGAACCTGCTGGTACCTTTCAAGTACCAGTATGGACCTGGAATCACAGCGGCACCAGTCAATGTAAGAAGAAGCAGGAAAGGAAACGACGCCTCCCTCCCACCTATTGGGCTAGTTAGCACTTTTCTTGGCCGGCCCCCAGACCCCGCGAGGGGCCAGCATGGACAACCTCATTGGTGCAAAAGCGGCATGTTGGCGCTGGTGCGGCCCAGGGTACGGCGCGAGGAGGAAGGCCATCATTGGGCGATGCAAAAGGGCCTGCAGGCAAGTGGCAGCGGCCCAGACCACTTCTTGGCTTGTCGAATAGGGATCCCTGACCAGTCTGGGTTTCGTCGTTCTGTCTACGGATACTAGGTGCGTATAGCAAGGAGGACGTATGTATGGATGGACTTGCTTGATGCATGAAGATGGTCGGGCCAAGTGGTGTGCCTGCATGTCGATGCCGCTCACGATTTGTGCTCCGTGCCAGTCCGGAGTTACTGCACATATCCTTGGTGTATGATACTGACTAGTATTATGGGAGACAGGCAAGACAAAAAGCCTTGTTAGCTCCTGGAATACGAAGTAGGGCCGAGTGTACGTCGACCGTGCAAATATTCCGGGGAGTTGTCGTGACGGAGCATTGAATATGGAGGAGGCCGGAGTAAAACTATCCCATTATTATCAGTATTATACCCTGCTGCACGCCATTTCTGTCTCTACGAATTACAGGGTATCCGTTGTCTGTGCCATCAACGGCGTCCGCACTTCGGCGACCGCCCTGCCCTGCTCCCCGCCTCTCGACTTCCGGATCCCCCCCGGCAACAGCCCTCCTTTTTTTGTTGATTTTTCCCCTCTCATGTTCAGCATTAATTTGTTCTGCAATGGCCTGCAGACCTAGATGGTTACTTGGGTCAAGCCATTGTTGCAGTCCACAGGCGGGGAGGCTCGCCAAGTGAAAAAAAAGAGTCCACAGTCAGTACCACTGCCCACTCACACCGGGTAAGGTTGGCGAGATAGTTGCTTTACTAATTAATTAGTGTCGGCATTATCATGGTTGCAGAATAGGCCGTTCTAAAGAGCTCGCATGCAAAACTGCCGTGTGACAGGCCGACATGAGGCTCGACAGCGGCCCCAGCAATGGGTATCCGTACTTGCCGCCGCCTTGGTCTGTATATATAAAAAGGTACGGTCGGAAAGGTCGATTCTTTCAAGAAAACAAACATGGCCATACCAGGGGCAAAGAACAAGCATCCTTTCTCTAACCGTTTTTCTCGATTCAAAGGCTGTTGCCCAGCCTTTCCCGCTCCTCCTCTCCACCCCTTCCGAGACCCCATATCCGCTGCCAGTTATTGTCTGGGGGGGGGAGGCTGAAGTAGCGGAATGAGCTCCGTGGAACCCTCCTTAGCTACCCTACCCTACCCTACCCTACCTACCTACACCAGCGACGGCCTCAGAAGCAGGTTGATAAAGGTTGGCCTGGAGGAGGGGGGAATCAAAGTGGCAGGTTGTACGAGAGGGAAGAAAAACAGCCAGCAGGAAGTCATCTTGCAGCGATCGGAAAGGCACAATCTCTGGCTCGCGTTGCACGGCATGCTCTCCCTTTTGCAGGGAAATAATTAGCGACAGCTGCAGCTGACAGGTAAGAATGTCACTGGGCGCCGGACACGGAGACGGCGACGGGAAGACGACGGACGGCAAAGCCAAGATTCATTGCGGCGAGCAAAGAATTGATTGCCACTGGCCAAAGGCTCAGATTCTCTGAATCAACCCGTCCAGACCGCGATTAATCAATCCGACTCGAGCGCATGTGTTTCGTTTCCCGACCCCAAAGAATCCTTCTGTCTAAGACTTGAGACTGGCTCAACGCTTGCCACATTGCAAAAGAAAAGACATATTTGTGGGTGTGAAGCAAAAAAATCCTACAATTTTGCTCGTCAGCGGAAAGAAAGAATTTCTCTGCATGTATTGTTCCTCCTTCCTGTGGCGGCCTTGGTTCAGCTGCTGGCGATCCTGGTGCGTTGTTCTACACATGACTTACACCGCAAGCCTCATGGGCAACCCGCAGCTGTCACGTTTGCGCCACAGCCGTCTGCGCACATCCATCTGCGACGACCACGATCCAAAAGATAGAGAACAGGGAATGCACCGTATATCCTACTCTCGGTCCGGATATTGCTTGATCAATGAGATAGACCATTTTTCGCGGGGCTTTCTGAGAGCGGCGGCATTCCGAAAGGCATAACTTGTCCCTTGCTATTTTCGCCCTTCCGCGACATGCATCAAGTTGCGTTCTAGTATGCTTGTTCGAGGCTCCACACCGGCCACCAGTGAAGGAAACAAGAGCGTAAAAATGTCGCAAAAGAGCTGCAGACAGGGGACCTTTTTCCTCCTTGCCCTTGTCATGAGCACGATAGAGACAAAGAAAGACGGGAGGCGGGAAGGAAGAAGATGAGGAGATGGGGAGGGCAGGGGGTGTGTTTAAGCCCGCAGTGGGCCAGTGGGTCAACGCTTCTCCCGCACTGTATCACACTGTCTCTCACTGTACTTTGCCTGCCTCAGTCCTTCCCCTTCTCCTCACTCAACAAACAGCCAACCTACTAGCTTCAAGGCCTTCCTTCGGCATTCACATAATGATTTCCACCTCCAACAACCCGCAACCCACACCTCCTTCAACGATGCTCACCCCATCCAACCCTTCATTCTGCCTCTGTGCAACGATGCTAACTGCTCCAACAAGAACTAGCAATGGTAGGCCCTGGTCCTGGTCGACTCCCCCGTTCTTCCCCTCTCTATCTCTCTATGCCGTACGGGATAGTTGTCGCTCTCTTCTCTTCCCGAGCACTATCCTCATTGTGGTCTGGCTTCTCTATCTACCTTGCACGCCGTTTCAACGCCGTCTCTTGGTCGAGACATCCCCTTGACATCCGGAATTACAGCGTAGCAGCCTCGATCGACGGCTGGTCGTTCTTACACACAGGCCTACCAATCCAAATACACGCCGCCAATTCTTCGCTCGTTCGGCATCCGCGGTGGCAAGGCGTGTGTGCTGTCAGAAGCGGGTGTAACATGACACCATGAAAGAGGCAGGGTTTTTTTTCTTGTCCAGGGTCAAGTGATCAAGTGATGCCTGGGCAGCCAATTTACCATCATGCCCAATCGACAAGCAGCGACGAGCCCGCTCCTTACCATTGGCAAAAGGCATCCTGCCAACCCGCTAGTTGCAAGCCACGCCGGCCGCCGTCATCCTGCATGGGACAGATTGCCGGCCTTTTGCAATTTGAACGAAAAAGAGCAGATTTACTGTGGAGTGCAGAAGGCTGGAGAGCAGCCATGTTGCTCGCTTGTGGCTGCTGTTGTCGAGCACACCTTGCATTGCACCCTTGCTGCGAAGCGAAGGATGGATCCATGTCATGGCTTTCGCTGTCCGTGGTGCTGCACGGTGGCGCTCTCCTCACTAACTAGTCTCGGAAATCAATCGTCTTGATCATGGCAGAAGACCCATCGCATACTGCATGCTGCGGTGCAGAGGAACGCACATCCGCCTACATACAGTACACACTAAAGTATCAGGCCCATCATCCTTCCTGTCGAGGTCGAATCAAAATGAGTTGCAGATCCTCACCGACTTGTTCGGAACGGTATTTGCGGCGTCTTGGTTCAGCCCAGCAGCATGTCTTGTGATAACCTGCAGCAGCCTTTTTCCGGAACGCATCGCTCCGACGGAAGAGCACATCATGGCGCATCATGGCCTTCAGCTCACAACATATCTGTAACAACGCCCGCGATTTGGGCAGCCATGTATGCAATGAGCTGCTTTGAAGACAAGGATGAGCGGCGACAGATATCCTCACGGTCCAGGCCGCCAACCCCCAGAGCTAGCGTTGTTGGTGAGCTGCTAGCAACCCTCCTTGAATGTGTGGTTGGTTCGTCTTCGCCATGCTAAAATGGCGTCGGAAACGCTAGGGTCTTTGGCCGCTGCGATAAGCTACAGAAGCCATCACCGGGCTCGGCAAGACACTTCCCCGCCCCATCACACTCCTCTCCCCATGAACCGAGCTAGACCCCGGTCGTTATTAGCTTGGATGCTCGGATAGCTATTATCCTGGCCTTCTGGGATGGTCCACAACTCGCCGAAACGAATAAGTCATCCATCGCAAAACGGGCATACAGTATAGGCGACAGGTTGACATGGTAATACCAGAACATGAAAGGCTGTGAGAAAAAGAACAGCCGAGGCCGGTGTCGTATTCACAGACGTCATTATGCCACCACACTCAGTAACACAAGT